GTAAAAATGTCCATAAACCACAATGCCTATAAAAATAATCCAGAAAYCATATATGGAATTCATGGTAATTGAGAACATTTTCCCTCCAGTTTTTGGGAAGGCAAAGTTTACTAGAAAATTAACTGAAGGTGCAATTTTTATTAACATAAGGGTAAAAAATATTTAATAAAGTTTAAACTGTTCTAGGTGTATTCTTYAGCACATAAAACATGAGCACACATTCACATATATGACATATCAAAAGATGATTTAAAATAATTYTTATTTTTATAATACAGCAACTTCAGGAACCCATATACCTGGCAATACTTTGTTTCTAGGTGGCAAGTGTATGCTATTATAGGTACTGAAAATGATAAACACATACATATATGGTGTTTTCTTTCTACATATTATTTCTAACTTTCTCCCTACTTGTTAATATTACCARAATTTATGCACACAATTTTTTAAAAAGCAAATCAATATTCAAAGCTGAGAGCCATTGTTAATTTTTAAAWATAATTATATAATTACATATATTCAAATGCTTAAAGGCGTTCGTGAAGTTGGTAATCCACATTCCATGAGGATCTTYTCCAAAACCACCATTTCCTGTTGCTTTTCTAGCAGCAGGTCAGAAGGACCACCTGGAACCTGTGGGTGTATCTCATACTTTTTCAATAAAAATGATTATAAAGTTAGAAAAACTTATCACCACTCAATAAGTAAACTAAATTATCTGTCTGTAGGGATAGAATCTTGCTAGCAAGGGGAAAGTGTGACTTACCTTTTGAATTTCATACCATGAGTGTATAATACCTCTTTGGAATTTTTGTGAGTTTTTAAAGGATTTTAATACATTTGATTAGTTCTCCCTTACTAGTATATTTTGTGTCATTGGATTTGATAATAATGTATTAATTTTCATCTTACCGTTAGGGTCGATACAAATTTGACCAAAGCTTCTGTTAGCTGTCACTGTCTTTTGCTAGAAATTTCTCTTCTAGATTATTAAATATACACACATTCCCTCAAAAATAAGTTTTAAGAATATTCTATAAGTACTATATTACTATATTTTATAAACAGCAATGAGGAGGGCAAAGAAAAAAAATCAAGGTAACACTTTTTATTTCCATGCAGGAAGATAGAAAAATAGGTTAAATATGGTTATTATAACATAGTCACATAGTTATAAATTATAAAGCAAAAAAAAATCAGAGCAGAAAAGGGAAATATAGTATCAAGATGGAGCATGGAAAGTTTGCATGGACCCCAGTTCATCCCTCAGTTCTGAGCTTTAGTTGCATACAGCAAAATGTCCGTGATAAATTGAATTGACTAGATACTCAATATGACCAAAATGAGTATATATCATCTCCATCAACTCTCTTCTACCACTACCACTGAGTTACTCAAACCAGAAATGTATGAGTCATCCCTGAATCCTGCTCAAACCTCACTCTCCATGTCCCATCTGTCACAGAGGTTAGCAACTTCTCCCACGTGGCTGTAAGTCACTTCTATTCATTGTCATTGTCACTATCCTAATTCAAACCAACATCATCTCTCACCAGGTCCTTGCAAATTCTTCCTGACACATCCCTTACAGCCATTACTGTCTTCTTCCAGTGTGATTAAAACTCATCTGTCACACTTCTGCTTCAACCCTACCATGGTCCCAGTCATCCTTCCCATCTCTTAACTTCTGGGAAGGAGAACTGACTAAGAATCAATAGCCATTTTTACCCTAATCCAATACAACAAAAATCTTACTGTTCTTCTCATTCTTCATTTATGCCAACCCTTCTTGACCCAGGAAATTTATTCATATAAGTTCCTCTGCCTGGAATATTCTTTTCTGTATCAGGTTGGCCTATCTTTCAAATTCCAACTGAATTTCTTCAGGCAAGTTTTACCTACAACCTCAGAATGAGCTACATGCATCAATTATGGGTTCCACGATCTCCTATCTTTTTCACTTCACACATTACATTTACACCTATTTCTATGCTAGTTTTCTCTGCAACAACGGAGTGCAAAYTTCAAGATAAGGGTCATGTCTGACTTTTGAGTTCATTATTGCTACTGTTTGTTCAACAATGCATGATAAAGAGTAAGTGCTGTATATATTCATTACATATATGTATACACAATTGAATATTATGAAGAAGAATGGCAGATGATTGATGACTGTTTTTAATTTGCATTTATTTATATAGTATACAATCAGATTATATTGAAGCATGATTTTTTTTTTTTATTTTGGTACCAGGGATTGAGATGCTTATCCATTGAGCCACATCCTTTTTATTTTTTATTCTAAGTCAGGATCTCACTAAGTTGTTTAGGCCTTACTAAATTGGGGAGGCTAGCCTCAAACTTGAGATCCTCCTGTCTCAGTCTACTGAGTTGCTGGGATTACAGGTATTTGCACCACACCTAGCTGAAGCATGATATCCTAATAGTACTTAAATTTTGCCTACTCACTGTACATTTGGGATTATGTTCTCCAGCAACTGACACATTCTCAGATTCCATGTGTTTTTTCCCATTTCACATATTCCTAGCAACCATATCAGGAATGTCTTCAAGAGAGATGTCCAGAGTTAATTTGCCATACAATAAAGACCCATTTTAGGCATCAGTAAATTTAAGGTTTATAACAGGAAGGAATGAAATTTTAATTATSTTAGTTACAGCTACTGATAAGCAAAGTCCCTGTGATGTTACTACCTAGACAAAACCAATATTCTTTCATCTTTTTTTATTTTAATTGCCGCTTGAGTCTTTAATACTAATCTTCTTTTGAACCTTCACTTATTTTCTGGAAATGTCTGCTCCTCCCTTTCTTCTCAGACAAAGCTAAAACTGTACCAAATTTTATGTCCTCTCAATCTTTTTAAATAAATGACACTAAGGCTTCTTTTGCTTTCTTTCCATTCATTATATCTTGTTCATTAAAAGATTGCTTTATTTATTAATAACACAGCAAAGGTTACACATATTACATCATTTTACAACAGCCCAGTGGAGAAGATACTCTTCTTCCAGGAAAGGAAACTGAGGCTTGGAGAGGTTAGATCACTTGTCTTAGTATTTGAGCTAGACTTTAAAGGGAAGGTTTACCTCTTTTTTTTTTTTTTTTTTTTTTTTTTTTTTTTTTTTTGTGGTGCTGGGGATTAAACCCAGGGCCTTGTGCATGGAAGGCAGGCACCCTACCAACTGAGCTACATCCCCARCCCTTACCTGCATTCTTTATGCTCAATTTGTACTGCACTATTTTACTTGTTGAGATGCAAACTCCTTTTATTTAACTCTTCTCTCTTAATTTTAGATACACAGTAGGTCTTCAACACATACTTTAAGTACTCCCTGGGTCATTATCATCCAACACATACTTTAAGCACTCCATGGGTCATTATCATCGGTTTAGATGGGTGAGAGTATTTGTGGCTTCTTTTGTTTACTAAATTTTGTTCTAAGAACCTAAACTGAAGTGGGCCTAGTAGAAGGGGCTGGAATATAGGAAATACAAAGTCAATAATGGTTAAAGAAAAGCCCCGTTTTGAGATATTTTCTGGGAGAGCGGAACTTTATAAGGATTCTTCATTTGGTTGCCTGAGTATCAAACTATTTCGTGAATCCTCTGGTTACAAATGCTGATAAGCCAAACTTTTTTTTTTTTTTTTTTGCCTCTTCATTATAGTTAGCTTGTGTAAAAGATTCCCACTGTATGCAATACTGGGGCGGGGAGCAGGGGGAGCACGAAAGTCAGCTATTTGCCTTGGCCATAGGTCTGTAACTGGCAACCCAAGTGCATACAGATAGGAGATTTACAGATTCTCTTCCCTTCTTCGCCCTCCCACWTTCCCTCCAGTGTTTTGCTTTGGATGGCCTCCAGCGAGTTTCCGAGCCTGATAGAGCGTCACGCTGCAGATGTGCGCTGTGTCTGTGGTTGTTTTAAAGTGCTGTTTTACCCGTCTCTAACCTAGAAACTTCCTTAGTCGGTGAAAGCTCACAGCTCCCCCTTCCTGTTCGTCCTCCCTCCCAGGGAAACCCCAAGCCTTCACAAATTCCTTGGAGTCTTCTCCCTAAACTGCCTGCAAATGACCCTTTAACCCAGGTGGGGGAGGTGAAAAGTTATCAGGAGGTGTGTGGGTCATGRCTGCATCCTGGACCGGATGGACCCCTAGTGCTGCAAAGTCCTGGAGCCTGCAGCTCGACCCAGCCGCCTGCAGAGGACCCTGCAGCCCAGGGACCCACCCTCTACAGGGTCCTGCCGGTACCGGACTGGGCACCATCGTCCCCCAGCTCCTCTCACCGCCACCCACCACAGGCTCAAGAGGTCAGCGGGCCGCAGCRAAGATCTGGCAGCAGTCAGGGATCTGGACTTGAAGTTGTCTAGTCTGGTGGTTAGGAACGCTGTTTCCGAAGTGCAATTTTGGTTTTACCTCTCTCCACCTGAGTGACCTTGGGCAAGTTCCAAAGCTTCAGTGCACCAATTTCTAAATCCATAAAATGGGGGCACTGAAGTGATAACTAAAAGCTAGGATTGTTGTTAAGAGTTAATATAGAATTTCCCAGCACGTAGTAGGGGCTCTTAGTTAATGGTTACAACGTTTAGTAGTAGCAGTAGTAGTTAGAGACTAAGCACTGTGGTCCAAAATGCAGGTTTGAGCTCTGGCTCTTCCAGTTCTTCGCTAGGGAGTGGGGGGCCAAGGGAGCGGAAGCAAGTGCCCYATCCCTTTACCCCCTTCCAAGGTAAACTCGGGATTACTCAGAGCCTGTAGTCGCGGTCTAGGGCTCCTTCAGACGGCCCTGACATCCGTGCCGTGAGGGTCCCTTTCTCTGGAGCGGAGGAAATATTTCTTTAGTGAATTGAGCACCTTTTCCCTCCCTCACTCCCCATCTTAATCTTGCTGAATTCTCTGGGTCCCAGTAGCCGCGGTGAACCTACTGGGGCCTCAGGCAGGAGGGAAGAGGCAGCCTCGGGGTGTGCAATTCCCTCCGGGCTGGGGAAGGGAAGAAAGGAAGAGGTGGTGCGGACACCCAGGGAGAACCCGCCTGCCTCAGGCGGTCGCGAGCCTTTTCTTCATTTTGCCTGCCTTCTAGGGACCGCTGGAGCTTGTTGGATCTAGGGGCGCAATCCTTGAACAGCCGGGTGTCCAGCTCCCCAARTCGGACCTAGGGGTTGGAAGCGCCCTCTCCGCGTGCCGCCCAAGTGGGCGGTGAGCTCGGGCCCGCGGGGTAAGGAGGGCGCGCAGCGGTGGGGAGTGTGCCTGCACGTGTGTGCGCGCGCGGGTGCGCGTGCGTTTGAGGGAGTGTGGGGGGCCTGGCCAAGGCGCGTCCCACCCTGCCGCCCACCTGCCCTTCCAGCACGGTGCAGCTGCCCACATCCTCTCGTCCCCCGCACCTGTGCTAGAGCACTGCCCCCCCCCTGCCACCACCCCCTGCAGCCCGCATGCCCCCATATCCCACCTCCCCCTCATCCAAACCCCACCCTGCCCACTAATAGTTTCCCAATGCAGAGTCAGACCAAAACCTGGAGAGACAGCCTTGCCTTCCTGCTCCCCTTGCCCCCTCCCCCTCCTGCTATAAATAACCAGTACTAGCGGGTCAGGAACATCACACCGCCAGAAACCAGGACCCAGAGGTTTTCTTCTCTGGGAATAGGGGGCAAAGGGTGAGGAGGAAGAGAAAGGAATCGCTCGTGAGTAGTGAAGAAAAGATTGCTCTTTGACTCCTGAGACAGACTGAGCATCATTTTATTCTTTTTGTTCTTTCCTTTTTTTTTCCTTTTAAAAAATGTTTTCCATTTCTTTCTTCTTCTCCGCACTCTCCCCACCCGCCCCAAATCCATGGGGTTGCTCCACACTTCTCCAATTGGTTTCTTTCCTCCCTCCCTCCGCCCCTGATTCCCTTTCCCACCCACCCCACCCCCACTGAACGTCCCCACCCCCACCCTAGTCTTGCCCCAGGCAGGGGATGCTATTCACCTAAGGAAATAAAGTTCAAACTCCTGGTCCCTGTCACCCTGCTCAGACCCGAAGTGGGCTTCCGGGCACCCGTTTTCCATTCGCACCCGACACCTGCTCTCCTCTAAATTCTTAATCTGGTTTTGCATATTTAAGAGGACACACACACACACACACACACACACACACACACGCACACGCAGGCACACACCGAAAACCCACAACCCGCGAGGTGCAAAACTGCCTCCTGCAACTACTGAAACTTACCAGACGCTGTAGTTGTTTTTGTTTTAACGAAAGATCAACAAATATTTTACTCTGGAATGATCCTGTGGGGTGTCTTTCTATATAATTCAAATATGTATATATTATACATGTATATGCTTTTGCTTTTTCCCCTTTAATTTTTTTTTTAAACAAGGAAATCTGCTCCGTCCGCGGCAGCCGCTGCTGCCCCTTTGATGTTTTGGTACGCCGTGCGCATGCGCCTCACATTAGAATTACTGCACTGGGCAGACTAAGTTGGATCTCCTCTCTTCACTGAAACCCTCAATCCCATCAAAAACTAAAGGGATGTGGAGAGTCCGGAAAAGGGGCTACTTTGGGATTTGGTCATTCCCCTTAATAATCGCCGCTGTCTGTGCGCAGAGGTAAGTGTCTTTTTYCCTTTCTTACTTGGCGGAATTCTGTCTGCATACCTCTGTGAGAAGGATGCTGGAGACGATGTGCTTGCTTCCTTATTGATGCCTATTTATTGTCATTTCTTTCTTTAGTGTCAATGACCCTAGTAATATGTCGCTGGTTAAAGAGACGGTGGATAGACTGCTGAAAGGCTATGACATTCGTCTGAGACCAGATTTTGGAGGTAATGGGGTTGCCTTGCAAATAAGAAACAGCCCAGCTACAGCTGAAGCTGCCTTTTGAGCTTTGTGTKCACTCTCTTCCTTCCCCTTAGTTGAGGGTACATGTGGCACACTGAATGAATTTCTGTTTTCCCACATTGAAAAAGGGATCCAAACTTATGCTCATGTGTTACTATCCAACACTTGAGAGGTCTTTCAGAGACCCTCTTAGTGTGGACTCAGATTTGGTGACTTGCTTTCCTTTGCCTTCACTGTTACAAATCCTTTGCTTTACTGTCTTTGCTTCGGTGAGAGACAAGCCTGTTAAGTTTGGTTAATGGTGTGCCCAGAGAATCTGTCTTGCAGAAGGCCATCGTGAACATTTTTTGAGAACAAGATGTGCAGGCAATTGGTTGAGAGGTGGCATTAACCCCCTGTGCCCGCCTACTTTGGAAGAGTTCCTTTGGCCACKGTTTAAAGTGGCTCATCTGAATATCATCCACTCCTCCAAGCTTCAGCAGCCTGAGGGAGAAGGGGAGGGGCTGTAGGGTAAGAGGGTAGGGGGGCAGCTGGGGTAGGTAGAAAATGACATCTGTCCCTGCAGTCCTAAATATAGTGATATAATCATTTAATTTTGCTTTAGACTTTTCTGGCATTCACAGAGTTAAAACCTACACACCTAGGGGGTGTGGGAAAGAATGAGGAAGAGGGGGTTTTGATGCAATATATAAAAATCCTGTCCTCTAGAATGATTCTTAAGCTTCTCTTAACTTGTGTGCATTCACAAGCTGAGACATCTACACATGTAGACAGAGCTGGAATCCCTCAACCACCAGCACACGTGTGTGCATATTCAGTGGAGCAGTTCCTAGAGGAGTGGGTGTCTACCACTGTTTTTGCAAAGCAGCAGGAAAGTGAAGCATTTGAGGATTAGCAGTGGAGAGGGGTTTGAGACATGGTGTCCCATGCCTAAAAGACAACTCTTGTTAAGAATGAATAAGTTCTCAGAAATCACATGGCTGACCATGTTGGTTTGCAGGTCCCCCCGTGGCTGTGGGAATGAACATTGACATTGCCAGCATTGACATGGTTTCTGAAGTCAATATGGTGAGTATGGAGATTTATGGCTATGTCTCTGCAGACGTTTGATTAGGAATAGGGTTAAGGAGGGAGCTGGCCATTGACCGTGGGATATGTGGGAATATATGTGTGAGGAGGAGGAAAGGGCATGGCATTTTGCCTTGAAATTCACTGTGTTTGAGGTTACAGAGCTGGCTCATTTTGGTCCCTAATATTTTTCTTTTCAACCTGATTCTGACACTTGGGTCTTGGTGTAGAATGAGAAAAATGGATCACATGTTTGTTCCTGAAAGGCAACCACATGCTGGAGACCCCTGCAGATGTGACCTTTCTTAAGGCTCCATAGAAAATTCAGTTCATGAGTGTTTTTTTTTTTTTTTTTTTTGGATGGGGTTAGCTGAAGAGAAAAGGAAAGAGGTATTTTTTATTATCATGTAACAGAAAAATTATTTGACAGAAAGTATAACCTGCAAATTATGGTACAAAGAGGCTAAACAAAAAAATCTTGGATACTGAGGCCCACTTGTTGCTTTTGGAAATCGCCTACTTATAGTTATTGACAACCCCATTCCTCATCYCCAGGGCTTGCCACAGGCTTTAACCCTTTTAGTTCATGAAAACAAAAGTAAAAATTATCACTCAGTTCCTAAAAGGCTGGCTAAGTTCCACGTGTCATCTCTGGTCACTTCTGGAGTGTTATTCATCTTGTGCCCTAAGCTTGTATGATTTATTGACAGCTTCTTTAGTGGTTACCTTCCTGGACTTGGGGCTAAGAGAAAAAGCCTCTGTGTTCCCCAAACGGGAAGCACTTGTGGGGGGTTTGCTTCATGCAGGAGCGCCCCCTGCTGCCCATGTTGGAGCACTGCAGACATGCATGAAGATAAGTGTCCCAGATTCCCCCACTGAGGTGGGGCATTTCTCTGGTAACTTTTCTAATTTAAAGTTTTTTCCTTTGGAAAAGCCCATCTAGAAGGGCCACACTTTGATGTAAATCTCCAGAGTTACTTTTGACAGAGCACACAGCACATTTAAGAATATTGTGAATCCTTCTGTCCAGAAGGTGGATGGATAACTAAAGAAAGGGGGTATAGTGTGTAAGATTTTATGCAGACACTTCTTGGCCAGCCATCAGGAACTGAGAATTAGGACTCTTTATTTATTAACTCAAGATGGTCAATATACCAAACTGCTAAGTTTCGAACAGGCTCTCAACATCACACACGTTATATTCCCTGAATTTAAACAGGAACCTGAAATAACCAGTACAACCCTTATCCATTGCCCCCAAATAAGTGATAGTGTATGTGGGATTATGTCAAGGTTCTGAAGAATCTTATGAAAACTTAAAGGGATGTTCAACTATTTCAGCAATGTTGTAGTGGCATGAATCTTTTTGTGTTCTAATTATTGGGAAAGTTTTTATGATATAGATGTCAATACTGACCAAAGACAATATTGGATGGGCAGAACCACACATTATGAGATTCCCTGTGTGGACAGACAGTATTTGTTAAATGAATTTCTCAGCTATACAGATAATCACTTTGGGGGGATTGAAGATTTTTCATCAGTTTATATTCTGAGTTTCAACATAAAAATAGGAAATGGTCCCAATGTGGGTATCTCCTAAGTTCCAGGTACTTGATTCTAGATTGTGTTGCTGAAAACAAAGTTATATATATAAAGTCATGTGTGATTCTGTGTGTCCTACATGTGGTTGGATTAGACACTTTTGTATTTTTTTTTTTAAATTTATGCCGTTTTCCTGCTCTCAAATTATATTTTAATGCTTGTTTCCTTAGAGGATTATTAAAAGTGTTTTGTGGGAAAATAGTAGGAAGAATCTAGAATTCAAAGAGACAATCATGAGATGACTAGAGTTTATTGCAGTAGGTTAACTAAGCACTTAGTTCCATAGAAAGTTGTTTGAGTGGTAGAGTTTTTGTTTTCTTTTCCTTTCTTAAGTTGTATTCATTTTTTTCCCTTTATGAAACATTTTGGAGAGATATCTCAGGTGGACTCCATGCCAAGACCTGCAAGTCAAAATATAGATCCAGCTAAGGAGAGGTGTCATCATTTAAAGCTATTTACTGTGGCTGAAAATCATGGGATGTTGAAAGTACAAAAATAAATGTCAAGTTGTAAATGGGACAGCATTGCAGCATTACTGATTAGAACCGAGTGTTAAAAGTTTGAAGCCAAGGCTGGGGTTGTGGCTCAGTGGTGGAGCACTTGCCCCACATGTGTGAGGCACTGGGTTCAATTCTCAGCACCACATAYAAATAAATGAATAAAATAAAGATCCATCAACAACTAAAAAAAATATTTTTTAAAAAAGTTTGAAGCCAGATTCCTTTCTTAGCCTAATGCTAACACTGGTGGATATGTTCAACTACATTGTAGCTTGTTGAAAAATGAGCATCATTTTAGCTAGCAACCCAAAGAATCTAAAACTAATCCTCCAAAGAAATTTTTTTGTTATATCTGTTGCTGCTACTTTATTTTTAAATATGGTTGCTTGCTTCAAAGCAGCAGATGAGTAATTCCATCACTAGTGCTTAAGATGATGTTTGTAGTATATTGTCCTTTGAACACATTTCTAAAAGGGTTAGGATCTTTTGGTTAGTTCCATTAATTATTTAAGTTAAATTTCAGTTGATTAATATGCATATCTCTCCCTCATTATCCTTTTTGGACTGCAGYCTCTGGTAATTGTAACTTTCTTATTCTAGCACATCTTTCTTTGAAGAATGCTGGCACTAGACCATTTTAAATTGCTGTTGACTCATTTGTGTTGAAGAAAAAATGTCCATCCATGTCAATGTGATACTTCTTATAAGTGACAATGATGAAAAGACCCTGGACTGAATCAGGAGTCTTGGATGATAGTTGTACTGCTGGTGCTTAGTCATACTGAGGATAGTCACAGCCTGAGTGAGCTCAGTTTCCTTCTTGTTAAGGGAAAGTAATAGTCCCATTTTACCCATCTCAGGTGACCACCAGAATTAATAAAAGATATATGTGAATGTATTGGTGTTCTATGAACAGAAATTAATACCATCCTAGTACCCAAGAGACAAAGTCTCTAGCACTCCTGCTGCTGTCCTACRTGTCTTTGCATTGATAATCTACCTCTTTAGGTCTTAGTTTGCTCATCTTTGGAACGAGAAGGAGCATGTTCAGTTCACTTCCAACTCAGAGTTACATGTGTCTCCTGCTTGGTTTGTAATAGCAACTCTACTGTGTAAAGAGAACTTTCAGGAAAACTTGGGGATTTATAAAAGCATTAGGAAAATGCAGGACTCCTAAATGGCTTAGAGTTGAGAGTTCTAAGGAAGGTGGCAATTGTATCTAAGCCATGAGACTCAGATGACTGTCACCCCATGAAAGATCTTTGGAGGAATGAGACTTCAATTAGAATGCTCCTGAGCAGGAAGCTTGGCTTTGGAATGAAATATTTTTAGATGTTTTGGTTAAATTGGCAGGAATCTTTTTGTTAAGATTCTTTGATGAAAAGTGCATTTTAAGATTCAAATTTGGCTCTGAGGATTATGGACCGAAATAGCTTTCTCTTCATTTAAAGCAGATTCTTCTCCATCTTGAAGCAACACATTTGCCAACCAACGAGTGAAGCAATATTTCACTTTTGAGGAAAGAGTTCTAGTAAACACATACACAAATTACCTTTTTATGGAATGGCAAATGGAGAAAAGTATCGCTTTTTTTTTTWWWAAACAGATGTTTCTTGCATCACCAGCTGCACAATTTAAAATTCCRTTCAACCAATACTTATTTAGCTGCCACTATGAGCGCAGCATGTGTAAGACCTCAGGGACAGAGTAGTGAACAAGACCAGGCTATCCCCTGACCTCATGAAACTTAACATCTAGGTGTTCTCTAATCTTAAATTCCACATCAGGTGCTTACTGTGCTTCTGCCTAGCTTAATTCTGCTCTTTTCTCTAAACCTTTTCTGCCCAGAAGGTATACAAGTGTGTGCACAGTGGTCTCTCTCCTATCAGTTCCTTTGTTCCTTGTTCATTTCTCCAGTCATTTCATGCTTGGTATCTCAACTTGCCTTATATTTTAGACAGTTGTTCTATCTTATTCTGTCATGTTTATAATTTATTTCTAGACAAGGCACTGTCTCCTCCAGTGGGTGAATGCCACAAATAATGAATGAGGAATTCACTTTCTTAGCAGGAATACATGGTTGGTCACCACACACTGTACTATCTATGTGGATAAATAGAGCAGAGAATCATAGCACTCAGCTTTGAGACATCCACCATTTAAAATATCAGCATAGGATCACAAGTGCTTTGAAGAGAAAATCGACAGAACATAGTAGGCATATAGAATACTGATGCACTACATAGAAATTAGCTTCAGGATAAAGGGGTTAGAGATCTGTGGATAAATGTTCCAAGCAGGGGGAAAAATGCAAGTGACACAGGAAAAATAAATAGTATTAGGGATTTGAAAATAGGTTTAAATGGAGCAAAGGGGTGAGAAAACTGGCGTTGAAGCCACAGGGAGTGGCCAATTTTGTGTTTACCCAGTAGTACAACTTTTTTTTCCCAAAGGCAGTTAGGGACCCAAGAAGGGGTGTCCTTAGAAGAATGACATGATGACATGAGCAGATTCACACCTCTAAGAGKTGATGTGAAGGGTGGCAGGTGGGCTCATCTGGAGCGAGACTTAAGGTTGGGAGATGAGATGGACACCTGCTGCAGAAACCTGGGAAGTATTGACAAACTAAGAAAGGGGTAAAAACCGGCAGAGGTGGAATTGGTGTATTTACAGAGTAGAAGTGGATTTTGGTAAATCCCACTTCCAGTGGTTTCATTTGTCACTACAGGGAGGATGGGGAGAGCAGTGGATGCTGGGAGGATGAAATATGTGTGTAGACAGTGAGTTGAGCTTGGAAAGTGCTGAATTTTCCTTGCACAAGGAACCTCCAAGTGGAGTTAGCCAGCAGGTGATTCCTTAGCTAGGGGGATTGCAATGATGAGAGAGAGACGGCAC